TTAGATGAATTCGAAATACTCGAAAAACTTGGCGCTCTTAAGCTTTCTGAATCGTATTTTGTTGAAACAACGTTAACATTTGAGACCAGCTTTCTAATGTCACTATCGCTAGACTATACAAAACAAGATCGTTCTTCTTCCATGTAAAATAAAGATGAAAACTGAAACTCTTTTGCTGGCTATTTTCCCCCAGACATTGTTTTTTTTTTCAGTGGAAATCAGAGGAGGAGGACAAATATCGACTCAAACGGGGGGTTGTTGCATGATAACTGTCCACCACGTGACATAAAGTGGCCAACAAAATCGCGCGAAAATTGATGGGTGGGTTATAATGGAAGATATTCCCCCCGCTATAACAATCACGGCAGTTGTATGCACCGGGCGCCGGTGCATAGAACTACTGTGATTCTCAAAGGGGAGAAACAAGCGTCCATTCATCAACGAAGCTGATTGGACAATCCGCCAATCGCAAGTTGCGAGTGTAGAACACCATCAAGGATCCTATGTGCTTGCGTCAACACTTCAACGTACTATTTTATTTTAGCATGGACCATTAAACTAAAAAGTTCTTTAAGAAAAGCTTTTGAATTCGTTAAATACAACAAAATACCTATTGATTTCTCCTTATTAATTTTTTCGTAGAGCAGCATTGCTTTATAAACCTTTTTTTTAAATGTGCGCCTATCGTTTTAATAATCCTGGGGAATTTAAATGTAGTCATCTTCCTGTACCAGAATTACATTACAAATTTCCTCCAATTCCTCAAAAAGCCGAAAAAACCACCTCAAGTAAGCAAAGCACCTCAAGTAAGGAAAGCACTTTAAGTAATTAAAGCACCTCAAGTACGCAAAGCACCTCAAGTAAGCAAAGCACCTCAAGTAAGCAAAGCACCTCAAGTAAGCAAAGCACCTCAAGTAAGCAAAGCACCTCAAGTAGGCAAAACACCTCAAGTAAGGAAAGCACCTCAAGTAAGCAAAGTACCTCAAGTGAGGAAAGTACCTCAAGTGAGGAAAGCACCTCAAGTAGGCAAAGCACCTCAAGTAAGCAAAGCACCTCAAGTAGGCAAAGCACCTCAAGTAAGCAAAGCACCTCAAGTAAGCAAAGTACCTCAAGTAAGGAAAGCACCTCAAGTAAGCAAAGTATCTCAAGTGAGGAAAGCACCTCAAGCAAGCAAAGAACCTCAAGAAAGCAAAAATCCACAAGTAAGCAAAGCACCTCAAGTAACTCAAGCACCTCAATTAAGGAAAGCACTTCAAGTGTGCAAAGTACCTCAAGTAAGCAAAATACCTCAAGTAATTAAAGCACCTCAAGTAAGCAAAGCACCTCAAGTAGGCAAAGCATCTCAAGTAGGCAAAGCACCTCAAGTAAGGAAAGCACATCAAGTAAGCAAAGCACCTCAAGTAGGCAAAGCACCTCAAGTAAACAAAGCACCTCAAGCAAGCAAAGCACCTCAAGTAGGCAAAGTACCCCAAGTAAGTAAAGCACCTCAAGTAAGCAAAGCACCTCAAGTAAGCAAAGCACCTCAAGTAAGCAAAGCACCTCAAGTAAGCAAAGCACCTCAAGTAAGCAAAGCACCTCAAGTAAGCAAAGCACCTCAAGCAAGCAAAGCACCTCAAGTACGCAAAGCACCTCAAGTAGGCAAAGCACCTCAAGTAAGTTAAGCACCTCAAGCACGCAAAGCACCTCAAGTAAGGAAAACACCTCAAGTAAGGAAAGCACCTCAAGTAAGCAAAGCACCTCAAGTAGGTAAAGCACCTCAAGTAAGTTAAGCACCTCAAGCACGCAAAGCACCTCAAGTAAGGGAAACACCTCAAGTAAGCAAAGCACCTCAAGTAGACAAAGCACCTCAAGTAAGCAAAGCACCTCAAGTAAGTAAAGCACCTCAAGTAAGCAAAGCACCTCAAGCAAGCAAAGCACCTCAAGTAGGCAATGCACCTCAAGTAAGTAAAGCACCTCAAGTACGCAAAGCACCTCAAGTAGGCAAAGCACCTCAAGTAAGTAAAGCACCTCAAGCACGCAAAGCACCTCAAGTAAGAAAAGTACCTCAAGTAAGCAAAGCACCTCAAGTAAGCAAAGCACCTCAAGTAGACAAAGCACCTCAAGTAAGCAAAGCACCTCAAGTAAGCAAAGCACCTCACGCAAGCAAAGTAAGCAGAGCACCTCAAGTAAGTAAAGCACCTCAAGCGCGCAAAGCACCTCAAGTAAGGAAAGTACGTCAAGTAAGCAAAGCACCTCAAGTACGCAAAGCACCTCAAGTAGACAAAGCACCTCAAGTAAGCAAAGTAAGCAGAGCATCTCAAGTAAGGAAAACACCTCAAGCAGGCAAAGCACCTCAAGTAAGGAAAGCATCTCAAGTAAGCAAAGCACCTCAAGTAGGCAAGGCACCTCAAGTAAGCAAAGTAAGCAGAGCATCTCAAGTAAGGAAAACACCTCAAGCAGGCAAAGCACCTCAAGCAGGCAAAGCACCTCAAGCAGGCAAAGCACCTCAAGTAAGCAAAGCACCTCAAGTAAGTAAAGTAACCAAAGTAAGCAGAGCACCTCAAGTAAGTAAAGCACCTCAAGTACGCAAAGCACCTCAAGAAGGAAAGCACCTCAAGTAAGCAAAGCACCTCAAGTAGACAAAGCACCTCAAGTAAGGAAAGCACCTAAAGTAAGACAAGAATCTCAAGTAAGACAACCATATAAAGCATATATGAAACGTATATCTCGGTACAATATATGTCCCCATACATGACGTACCTACCGCGCAGTAGACATCATCTGCTGACCAGCCTACCGGCTCAGGCTAACAAATCGAGACATCGCCCGTTCACCCTCGCTTTACTGAGTTCGTATGTTTTCTTTTTTTTTTTTTTTCGTTCTTTCAATCACCACCTGCAAGAAATGTTATGACGGTTCATGACATCAACTGCCGAAACATGTTTCAGTTACATGCAGGCCCCTTGGGGAGGGGAGGGTTACGGCGGGGTTACTCGCCAGAGTTTTTGGTTGGGGTGTAAGGCACCCTCACTCTATTTCAGACCTGTGCCAAAATTTGGGACTCCTATTTCAGACCAGCAAAATTAGTACTGTACATGGCTCAAAATATGACCGCCGCTAACCAAGGCCCCATGTGTGTAAACATTTGAGAAGGGCTACAAATGTACCAATGTTGATGCGGAAAAAATCAGTTCCTTGTAAACAAAATACCCAATGCCAAGCCAGAGTTTACAGAAGATACCCTAATTCAGACAAAAATGGTCAAAATCTATACATTTGTCAGACCAAAAGCGCTCAAAAAGGCATGCAAATTAGTGTGCTGAAAGAAACTGAAAACGAGGTTTTTCCTGATCAAAATGACCTCGACACCAAAATCTCATGGTGACATGTTTATTCGTTCCAACGCCGTATTTGTTCCTCTAATAAGGTCTGTCAGGAAATGTCTCAATGAATGTTACATTATTTGCACATAAATGACAGCGATTTCATTGTCAACTTTATAGGCGTTTTGTGTTACATTATGTTGTCCAGTTACCGACCGGTATCAGTATTCGAACAGTTAAAAAATAATTTGATTTTTTAATCGTGCTTGTTAATATCTGCACTGACAAATACTCCTAAAGGAAACCGACAATTTTTGCTGTGGGATAAAAGTTTAGGAGCACTATTAGCCTGAGGAAGGCCTCCGTTTTGATCAGGTAAGTAAATTGTTCGTGGTTAATATTTGCGCTATTCACTGGGCAGTAATATTACCGATGCTAAACTAAGGGTCTGATAAATGTGGTATTTTCAAAAGAGCTTTTTGATTTTTGGCTTGAAAATACTCGAAGAATTCAAGTGGTCAGAACATCAATTAACTTTACATGAAATTGAGTTTTCTTTTTTTCTGAAATAACAGAGTTCAATTAAAATCAGTGTCGTAACTTTATCGATATGATATAAACTCAGGATATGCATATAATCCCACGATAGGCAACACCACGCATGGAAAGTTTATTGATTTCATTTTGGAGGCAAATTATTTTCTGCATTAGGGTGTTGTTTCACCTGACTGCATTTTGCATAACAAAAAGCGCAAGGAAAAATACTGTCTGCTCCTGGCTTCTTTTCATGGTGCTAATACATTGGTTGGCTGCAGAAAGTTACGTTGCTGCTTTATTTATATTGCTGTGGTCGGAGACTCGGCAAAAGGAGCTTCGCAGAAAAGGCAATTACACGACGACTACAAGGGTATAAACTTCTAAAGCCTTTGCAAATCATATTCAAGATTAAATCTATATATTATGTCGGGGCCAAATTTTAGACCTCCAGTGACCGAGTAAGGGAAGATATAGCAATTTGAAAGAGG